CCAAAATGCACAGCTCTACGAAAAGAGGTCAGGTTTCGACCAATTGCAGATAGATTTTAATTCTAAACAAACCAAACGATTGGTAATTTATCTATCAATCTGCTAAAATGAACACTTAGTTAATTTTCAATAGGTCACTATTGAAAAATACCAAATGTCCAACTGTTGCAATGGTGATCAAAATTATCACCGAATGTCTGAAAACAGCGCATTCCCTAACACAGACTTAAAAATCGAATTCGATGCGGTCCCACTGAATGGTGCTCATTCAATCACCGTAAGTGGTGGTGTCCAGTCCAGCAGCAGCAGTAGAAGCAGCAGCAGCAGCAGGAGGAGTGCTTTCAAGAACAACAACAACGAAAGGCTGCCTGCAAGCAGCGAGCTGCAGAGCTCATATGAGCAACCATAGAGAAGGAGGAAGAAGTCCCACCACTACTAGGCTAGGATCAGTAGCTCGTCGTACTCAGCTCAGCATTACTCAACCATCACTACAAAACGGTCCTTTTCAGGACCAACATACATTTGTTAAGAGTATTATTTGGACATTTGTCAAGGTCATCAGTTCCCGCAAGCAGCTTGCTATCAAGGCTCAACCTGGTATCTATAGAAGGTGTGGAATTGTAGGCCCGAATGTATTGGTGAGATTAATCATCGTCCGACCATTTTCCAGAACACGCTGGTAGGAAGTGTTAAAAATCCATATAGAATTTGAGAGAAGTGGGAATAATTCGCTTTGGGTGTATATTCAGTCCACAGAAAGCCAATAAAATCAAATTTGTGAGAAAATTAGCTCTCACGAGTTCAATCCCTCGAAGTCCCTCCTTTTAACATATTCTGCACAAACGATACTTTCCACCCCGCCCCATTCATATAATTCGGAAGGAAATCCTGTGAGGGATGAATTGAATACACTTTAATACAAAAATGCACAAAACTTAAAAATTCACAAATAACAAAACAATTCAAAATACACCTTTTAAAGTCGGGTAGATGAATCGAAAATACTCAAGTTGACAGTCCCTTGGATTCTCTTAATCAACTTTCTCTTTGAAATAAATACTACACATTTGATACGCTTACAAATAAAAAACGGAAAGTTAAGTTAAGATAATTGATGATTGATCAATTAAAAGAACTAAATGTTCACATTTGCTCCGTCCACTAGAGGTCCTACGTCAAGCTGCCGTTCGTGTCCCTAGGCACAGACCCGTCTACTTTTTAATGCATGGGTCTGATTTGGGATTCGATCATGTACTGTTGGGGTGTGCTGCTGCTGGAGTCTTCGTTCGATCTCACTGTGCCACGGTTGTTCTCATATATGAGGCGGGTTGATAGGATAAAGTCACAACTCTTGTTTTCGATGTTTACCTTTCTGAGCAAGCAATTCACATCGTATTGAAATGCAAAACACTTTAAATCCATCTGTTTGGAACAGTAGTGTGATTCAATGTGCAATACACTTGAATAGATATTGAAAGATTTTCAACATTTCAAAGTTTGAAACACTAGAAATTAACGTGTACAACACATTGAACCAAGGTGAAATACACTTAAAGTAAATGTGATTGTACATTTAAAAAAATAAGTGTTTAAACACTTCAATCAAACGTGTGGAATTTTTCGAGTGTAGAGTCGCACTCTGTGTTTTCACTGAAGGTACACTTGAGAGCGCTCTCGAGTGTACACTCAAAATAATGTTCACGTTAATGCTACACGAAACGAAAATCAATTATTTTATTCATGTGTTTCACTTATACATTTTTGCCAAACATCAGCCTTATACATTCCATAAGACAAACCACATAGGTCCTATAAGAATGCATAAAAGGTATGTGTGACACATGATTTTCATTAACTTTTTGCAAGGCGTCTGCTTATTAGTTGACTTATACATTTTATGAATAATCAAAAATAGAAATTTGCCAAAAGGTATAAGGAGATTTCTATCCGTGTACGTGAAAACATACGTAGATTTTTTCCATCGCACTTTTCACGTAAGAGTTACGTGATTCTCATGTAGATGCACTCATTTCGTCAAGCTTCAACGTCACATAAGCATCACGTATAACTTACGTGATTTTGCAAATGAATGTTATGGTGGTTTTAAGTACCATTGTTATTGACGATATTTATAATTTTTTTTTTATTTATTGTTATGATGAATTTTCACAATATATCAGAATAATGCCCTTTTATTCAATAAAAAAAAGCCACAATGAAATCCGATGAAACACTAATAATTCCAATCAGGTGCAGGGTGATAACATAGAGGTTGGTGATAATACAAGTTATTTTTCCGCGGGGAACTGCTGGGTTGCTTGAGACCTACCTGTAAAAATAATAAAATAATAAAGTGAGTTTTGACAATGGGAAAAAATAACCTGTATCTTATACTTACATCTTGCAATTAATTTATCAAAATAACGAAAACATCTCTGTATCTAACCGCCATGTTGTGCACCATGCTGAGTGTCGCGCTCTTTTTTTTCAGAAGTGGAAACCATGTAAGGTTTACGTGAAACGCACATAGAAATTGTCTATGTGGAAATCACGTAAATTTCATTGGATGCGTTAGAGTAATGGCCCTTCGCTCATTTTCAACTTCTATTCAATTTTCATACTGCCATACTCTAACGGAACTATCCACCTACCCTCTTCTAAAGATCATTCTCTAGCTAATAAATCATCACACTAAAGCTTCATGTTAGCATTTCCAACCAACTCTGAAAATCGTTAACTTCGCGTATGAAGTAACATAAAAAACACTTTGAATGTAACAACTCAAGGCGGGAGTAGCCGTCAACAATGCTGATGATGGTACAGCACGCAACAATCACCCTACTGCTTTCTCTCTGAGATGATCACGTTGGTCATGACGAGAGGAACAACACAATAGTTGGGTAAAGAAGAACTGCATTATAACACACCATCGACTGGAAATGCTCTCGCAACGTGGGGTTTTAGGTAGTGATGAAAACGTCGCTAGAACTATTCCACAGCCGCAGTCAGTTTATGAGCAAAAAGAGGGACGCACATTTTTGCCTGTGGACTTGGAGACATACTTCAAGTCCCCGCGTACATCGTACGGGTTAGGCAAAAATGTGCGTCTATCTTGAAAAACTGACGCATTAATGGCCCTTCGCTCATTTTCAACTTCTATTCAATTTTCATACTGCCGTACTCTAACGGAACTATCCACCTACCCTCTTCTAAAGATCATTCTCTAGCTAATATATCATCACACTAAAGCTTCATGTTAGCATTTCCAACCAACTCTGATTTAACAGAAGTTTTCTTTAATATTCAAGTGGTATCACATATATGCTATGTGAGTCACGTAAAGCTGATAGAATAGGGAAACGAGACATCTTATGTGATTTTTCACGTAACTTCGACTTGTCGATTATTTTGAGTGTACTAGCAAAAAGTACATCATGAAAAAGTCCCAAAAGAGCGATCCATCACTGCCCATGGGTAAAGATGCTGTGTTGCTCACTCCTCTCCCCTTCCCTAGTGCATCATGGATGGTGTGAATATTCACATCGGTGACATGACCCCCTTGTTCATCATAATGAAAATGAAATGAAAATGATTGTGGACGTTTAACGTTTTCTGCATGTCGCTTAATTAGATATTACAAGACTCGTTTGCGAGCCTAGCATTCCCAAAAGTAAGATTTAAGGTTTTCATTGCAATTACATATTATTGGACCGTACTTCTTACTTCAAGAACAACATGTGAAAAGGGCATGCACGCTTTTTGTAAACAAACCTTCTAATGCTCTTTTCTCGACACCCATATGACACCAACGCAAACCATCAACATCACCGGGTAGGGGAAACTTTCCCTTTCCCGATAATAGTGATGGTTTGCGTGGGCGACCCTCGGTTGACGAGAAAAGGGCCTTCAAAGGTTTGTTTACAAAATGCTAGTCCCCCTAATTCTGCGAGTCACGTGACTCTCTGTCACCGGTGAGGTGACAATGGTCACCTCGTGTGAGGTGACTCTCCGTGCAAATCAAATGGAGAGTCACCTCACACGAGGTGACTATTGTCACCTCACCGGTGAGAGAGAGTCACGTGACTCGCAGAATAGGGGGGAGTATGTCCTTTTCACATGTGGCTCCTGACGAGTATACATATATGTATACAGCATCCATGACAATTTTTCGGTCTGTAACATAATAGAAATTATGTTTGAAAGTAAATAAACAGTTTCTAAAGAGCCAATCCATCACATCAGCTGTTCAAACTCACCCCGCAGAGTAACACATAACAGAACGACTTTTACAGTAAATTCAGATTTGTTTTTTTTTTTTTGGTCGAGTAGTATTTACCATTCAATATTAAAAACAGGCCCCCCTATTCTGCGAGTCACGTGACTCTCTCTCACCGGTGAGGTGACAATGGTCACCTCGTGTGAGGTGACTCTCCATTTGATTTGCATGGAGAGTCACCTCACACGAGGTGACAATTGTCACCTCACCGGTGAGAGAAAGTCACGTGACTCGCAGAATAAGGGGGAGGGATATAATCGATATTTTGAAGATGTATTCTTTTATTTTTGTTTTCGTTCGAACCATATTATCCATACAAAAAAAAAGTTTTTTGACATGCACACAACGAATATGGGTGATTATCTCGCATCAACTTATGATTTCCGAGGTTTGAAGGCTAGGTGAATATAAGGCACACTGAATATGGCAGAAAAACATCGAAAGTTTAACGTTTTTCACTTCACTATTTGTTAACCCTTGCCTGCCCATGGTATGAACAACGCCTAGACATCCTACTGATATCATGTACCAGTCGGGGGAAAGTCGTACAATTGTACATAGTGTCCGTTTAATAGGTTTCCATCTTTGAATACATAATTGCATAATGCATAATTTTGTTGTGCTTTACGAAAAATTGATTATTCCCATCTACGTAATGGTTTTTCCGAGAAATGGTGTCCCGGGAGATGTGATACCACCTTTTTTCACATTGTAATTGTGAAGTAACATTTATTGTAATAGTTCACTCAAACCGAAAAAGTACAGGTGGAAATGATTTTAAATTTTATGCAGTGGTTTCAGTCCCAGAATATCGAAGCATTTGCCCAAAATCATGGATGTAGCTTCACAGAGCAAGACACGTCCGGCATTGATCTTGACGATTTCTCCTGAAAATTAAAAATCAAACTTTCAGTAATGCCAATTTGGTTACACTAGGTAAACCATTTCCTACCTTGTTTATTCTTCTCAATGCAGTAACAGCTATCATAAAATTCTGTAAACGTTGTGCTAACTTCGTACACAAATTCACAAAGGTGATGCAGGCAGAGATTCTTTGAAATTAGCTTTATGACATCGGTAAACTTCAAGAGAACCTTTGCTAGCTTCCATTCCTTTTCGTGCTCCAATGTTAGCTCGGTAGTATTGATGACTTTTCCGATATTGTTGGCAAAGTCGCCTCCACAGTTGCGACCTATTGAGCGTATGCGAGTGTACGCGTACAGAAGATAAACCGCTGTATTACCCTTATCCTCTAACATCTGCAATGAAGGGAAAGTTTAAACCTTCCGAACGTAAATAGTTCGAATAGTATTTAGTATTGAGTACCTTATCGAAAGAGAAAATGTATTCGTTATTTCTGTTGTGTGAAAGGTCAGCATATTTAATGCATCCGTACGCAACAGACTCCTGGGCCTGTTTAAGTTCTTCCGGTGTGAGCACCTTATCACGCTCCTTTTCGAGTAACTTATCTAAAGAACGCTTTAGTCCTTCATCCAAGAGCTCTGTCAGCTTGACCGTGTCGCCAGATCGTGTTTTAAATTTTTTGCCGTCCTCTCCTAGCACCACTCCGAATCCAACGTGATCAACACGGTGTACGTTGGCATCTAGTATATTGGCGCGACGGGCACAGGAGAATATTGTTTGAAAGTGGGTAGCCTGGCCAGCATCCGTTACATATATCAACCATTCACTTTTTTCTTCGTGCAAACGTTGTTTGATCGCGGCCATATCTGAGGTATCGTACGTGAAACCGCCGTCCGATTTGATGATCGTCAAAGGAATACCGTCTTTATTTTCGCCCCACATAATCTTACGTCCTTCATCTTCTTCCAAAAAGCCAGCGTATACCAGTTCTTTTACGATTGTTTCCATACGTTTCTGATAGAATGATTCACCTCGTTCTACAAGCTTGACATCCAATCGATCGTACACTTTTTGGAATTCTTTCCTGGACACGTCGCATATCAATTTCCAAGCTTTCAAAAAATCGGCAACACCGCTTTGTAACTTTACAACGCAAGCATAAGCACGCTTCTTAAATGCCTCATCGGAATCAAATCTTGTTTTACTTTCTTTATAGAACCCTTGCAGGTCACTGATTGGAGGAGAAACCTTCAGGTAATCGGGAAACCGATCCTGCAAGTGAGCAATCAGCATACCAAATTGGGTACCCCAATCGCCAACATGATTAAGCCTCAAGACATCATGTCCTAAGAACTCTAGGAATCGACAAATTGAGTCTCCAATGATTGTGGAACGTAAATGGCCAACATGCATTTCTTTTGCAATGTTTGGAGATGAAAAGTCGACAATTACCCGCTTCTTCTCGAACTGAGGCGGTTTAACGCCATTCTTCAGAATAGACATAATGGCGGAGGCACCGAATTTCTTATCCAGAAACACATTTACAAAACCTGCTCCAGCAACTTCGACCTTGCTAATAGTACTTGATTTTGGTAGTGCGTCCATCAGCTTGATGGCCACATCTCGTGGATTAATTTTAATGTCGAGCGCCTTCAACTTTTGCACAATTTGCATCGCGTTGTTGCATTGGTAGTCGCCAAACTTGGCCGCACTGGAAACGGTTATTACCACTGGGATGTCCTTGCATACCTGCGGGAATGCAGTTGCGATGGCTTGCGAAAAGAGCTCATTGAGGTGGTCCAAAATCGATATAGTATCACCGGAAACCACTTTATATTTGGAACCAAGCTCGGCTGCGATTGCCTACGATGGATAGGGGAATGTGTTACACTTTCACTTTAGTCATCAATCGGTCAACCACAACCTACCTTATTCAGAATGATAAGACGATGCTTCAGCTTCATATTCTCTACCTGCAACTTTTCCAGCTCGGGATTGTTTCCCCCCAGTCCAACATTGTTGTGTGCATCTTCCATGGCTTTTTGGAGTTTTAGGATTTCATGTTCCTGTAAAACGAAGAGTGTGGTTAGTTCAATCAAATCAGCAATAACGTCAAATATATTTGAGTGTAAATTACTAGTTTTCTAAGTCGCCTCGACTCTTTAAGGATCTCGCTTGACATTATGCAGCAAACTACAGCTTTTTTGTCAAGTAAGGTAGTTTATAAGTTTTGAAAATGATGAAATTTGTGGAAAAAAAATGTGGAAGATTCAGCTTGTGCTGTAAACTCCGGTCGTCAACGTGTAAATTTGTTTATGTCAAACGTCAACGTCAAAATTTAAGGCTGACTTTCACCACAGAGAACAGACGTTCAACTTCGGTCAGAAACGAATTTTAGCGTGCCCTGCCTTTTTTCGAAGACAACAAATCAAGAAGACTGCCAACTCTTCCATTTTCTCATACAAACGCTATGAGACAGGTACAATCGCGTCATCTGCCGCTCAAAGGTAAATGCTTCGAACGAATTTGATAGCGAAGATTACAACCTCAGAAGAACACGGATACGAATTTTGTTCATTTATATTAAAAATATAAATGTTTATACTCTAAACATATTAATTATTCAAAGTAAATTGAAAACATGTTTAAAACGAAAATATTTATGATTGAATTAAATTCAAAGGCATGTTTATTTCAACAATATCAAAATCCATTGTATTTGACAGCTTTTGTCACCATGTCTGTGTTTGACTGACGAAGCGGAAATGGTTGGCGGAGACAATAAAGGCGCAGAAGATGGTAGTTATTTCACTAGGCATTCCCGCATAAACGCGAACCATAAATTGACCTTACCTAAAATGGTTAAAAATTGTTTATAATCCTTGCTAAACTTTAACTGAAATGGTTATGGAACTTTACATGAACGTTTAATGATAAAGTTTCAACCTTATGTATTATGTTTTTTTGGAACTGGACCTTACAAATAATGGGTTGTTAAGAACCATTACCATTCCAAATTCTTGTTTTCTCCATACATTTTCAGAAAGAGAACTATATAAGAACGTTTTTACTTATTAACATTAATGGTAATGGTTATGGTAGTCAGTAAGGTCCATTAATGGTTTTGTATTATCGCTCAACTTTATACCATTGACAGACATACAAAGCAGTACCGTTGTACTCCTTTAATCGAGTACCTCAAAAGGTACAATTTGAGGTACAAGCTTAAAGAAATACAACGGTAGTACAACAGTGTACTTTGTATGTCTGTACAAGGTATTACGTGGAATATATCGTGAATTGGTAATCAGTAAATTACAGGCAACCAATTCGCGATATATTCCAGATAAAGTTGATAGATGTTACAAAACCATTCGTGGACCTTACTGACTACCATAACCATTACCATTAAAGTTCTCAAACCATAAGTTAAAAGGTTCTAATATAGTTCTCTTTCCGAAAATGTATGGAGAAAACAAGAACGGTAATGGTTCTTAACAACCCATTATTTGTAAGGTCCAGTTCCAAAAAACCATAATACATAAGGTTGAAACTTTATCATTAAACGTTCATGTAAAGTTCCATAACCATTTCAGTTAAAGTTTAGCAGGGATTATAAACAATTTTTAACCATTTTAGGTAAGGTCAATTTATGGTTCGCGTTTATGCGGGTTTCGCACGATCTGAAGTTTTTGGTAGTGACCGGATTAGATCAAGAGCTGGACGAAGCGACAATGGAGCTGGTGATACTCTGATTGGAAGAATTCCTATCAGTTATATTCCTGTACGAAAGATAGGACTGGCTCCTGGATGAGATGTTCTATACGTGGAGACATTATACAGTCATCAAACGCCCGGTTACCAGCATTTTTTGCCATGTCTCGAAAACGTTGCATTGTGGAAGAATCGCATTTGGTTTACAGCTGTCTTCCCAGCTTGAGTGTGTCAGGTTGATCAGAAACGAACCTTTTTATTTTATCGCGCATTGATGATTTATAATAATAAATAAATATAGGGGAATTTACGTATTCTCAGCAACCTAAGCAGCGACCTTCTTTCTATAGCCTTTTTCTCTATGGAACGCACACATATGCAGTATTGGTTTGTTTACAATCTTTTGCTGCCAGCTGCTCTAACAATTTCAGTCGAAAGAATTGTCAAAAACTGTTTTGAAACGCTTTTACAAAGCTCCAATCTTCTCTAGTGAGAGCGAGTATTGTCGGCAACCGTTCCATTTGAACTGCATGTAAACACAGAGAACAGACGGCCAAGTTCGATCAGAAACTTGTGTAAAGTTAAGTGGAAACGTCGCCGTTACGTACCGCTAGCATCTTCTGATTTCCTCTTTAAATTTATCACTTTCGACCAATTGGGCGCTAGTATCGATAAATGATCTGTTGTAAACTGCCACTTGGCGCTACCAGCACTTAGTGTCTACCCTAATAACTAATAAACGGGTACCATACTCTAACTATATCACAGATGGTACGACCATCCCACATAAAGTTGGGATGATATCCCGAATTGGTGGTTAGGCGCTTCTTATGGTTATTGTTTATGCGGGTAGTGTAAGTTTTGCAACGCCAGCGCCATCATGTTGTCAAAGAGGGTTTTTAAGTGGGGAAGTCGCCGTTAGTGGCGCTTAAGTCGAATAGGAATCTTTACACAAGTTTGTAGACAAATTTTGTTCGAGCCTCAATGTCTGTTCTCTGTGATGTAAATCTGCTGTTCTATTATCGGCAGCTCGAAATCAGCTACAATTTGTAGTGCGTGTGTTTCATTTCAAGAAAACCCTGCTAGATTACTTTTTCTCAGTGGTAAAAATATAGTCAAATTGAAGCTGAAAGCATAAAGAATCGTTTGCATGCATTCAGCGAAGTGTTTTCGTAAGAAAATCCAGTGACAATAGTGTTTCAATTTGGGTTGCCGAAAATAGTCTGTCATGCCGAAGCCGTCATTTCCCCTATATTTTTTCTTAACATTAAATACGTTTAAGATAAACTCTAAAATCATGTTTAAAATAAAAATATGTATTTTTGTTTACAAAGCTGTCAAATCAAACAAAAATATTCACGTTTATTTTCAACTCGAATATTTTTAAAATAAACGTATATTTATTTTTATTTTAAACATTGATATTACATGACTTTGAACATAACGTACGTTTGAATCAACCTATTTTATTTTTGTGGCCAGAACAAACTGAGTTTACGTTTATTTTTATCTCAAATATTTTTGTTTCGATGATACTTTTTTCTGCGTGATGTATACACGAAACTTTATAATATCTCACAGTTAAAAAAAAAAACAAATACGTACCGTGCCTGGAAGCACGGCAACGAAAAAACGTCAATGAAAAATTAAATTTGAAGTAGATAGTGTAAGCAAGCTTTTCCCGACTGTCATTTAAGTAGACAGGAAGTTCGGTTTACTGATTATCAGCAAATACTCTGACATTCGTCTGTTTGCTGGATGTCGGCAATGCCAAAAATGCTAATTCTGAATTCCAGTAAAATATTATTATGCTGAACCTATTTCAGCAAACTGTTTTGCTGAAACTCAAAATTTAAATTTGGTGTGTAGTGTTTAGAGAAATTTTGTTCGAACCTCAACGTCTGTTCTCTGTGGTTTAAATTTACCTCAAATATTTTTATTTCAACGATGAAATGTTTCTGCGTGAAAGTGTAAGTTTTGCAACGCCAGAGCCATCAAAGAGGATTTTAAGTGGAGAAGTCGCCGTTAGTTGCGCTTAAGTAGAATAGGAATCTGCACTAGTTTTTAGAGAAATTTTGTTCGAGCCTTAACGTCTGTTCTCTGTGGTTTAGTCACAGAGAACAGACGTTGAGGCTCGAACAAAATGTCTCTAAAAACTAGTTTAAAGACTTTTCCACTTAAAAACCCTCTTTGACAACCTGATGGCTATGCACAAATTACATGAGGCACTAAGTGCTGGTAGCGCCAAATGGCAATTTTCAACAGAAAATTTATCGATACTAGCGCCAAATTGGTCGAAAGTGGAAAATTTATAGAGGAAATCAGGAGCGCAGCGTAACGGCAATGTTCCCACTTATCTTTACACAAGTTTCTGACCGAATTTGGACGTCTGTTCTCTGTGGTGATGACACCGCTTCGTGTTTTGATTTGCGCTGTATCGTCCGCTCAGTTCTAGCACAGAGAACAGACATGGAGGCTCGAACAAAATTTCTCTAATAACTTGTGTAAAGATTCCTATTCGACTTAAGCGCCACTAACGGCGACTTCCCCACCTAAAAACCCTCTTTGACAACATGATGGCGCTGGCGTTGCACAAATTACACTAGACACTAAGTGCTAGTAGCGCCAAGTGGAAATTTTCAACAGAAAATTTATCGATACTAGCGCCAAATTGGTCAAAAGTGGAAAATTTATAGAGAAAATCAGGAGATGCTAACACCACGTAACGGCGACGTTCCCACTTATTTTACACAAGTTTTTGACCGAACTTGAACGTCTGTTCTCTGTGCCTGAAGGCATTTCAGCCGGTTTTGAGTAACTTTTCATAGGAAGCACAGAGAACAGACATGGAGGCTCGAACAAAATTTCTCTAATAACTTGTGTAAAGATTCCTATTCGACTTAAGCGCCACTAACGGCGACTTCCCCACCTAAAAACCCTCTTTGACAACATGATGGCGCTGGCGTTGCACAAATTACACTAGACACTAAGTGCTAGTAGCGCCAAGTGGAAATTTTCAACAGAAAATTTATCGATACTAGCGCCAAATTGGTCAAAAGTGGAAAATTTATAGAGAAAATCAGGAGATGCTAACACCACGTAACGGCGACGTTCCCACTTATTTTACACAAGTTTTTGACCGAACTTGAACGTCTGTTCTCTGTGTAGGAAGTTTCCTCCAACATAGTTGACATTTTTTCTAAGTCCAGGATTTTGCTGACTGAGTGGCTTTTACTCAGTTTGACATTTTTCGTTTACTCAGTTTTTGACAACTCGATACATCGGACGAAAATGAGTACGATCGACTCACCCGGTGAGTAAGCTAAAGTTAGCGTGAGAGCCGTCGTCAACGCCAATAATTGGTGTTGCGTTTCTTCGATATTCTTAATAAACCGGTCTCGTCTGTTTTGAAGAATGGCTAGTTCAAAGAGAGTTTTCCACAAAATTCAGGAACTAAATAAATGCACTGAAGGTGCCCGTTTCATCGTTAATCGAAATCCACGTAACCTAGAGCGGTTGCGTGTAGCCTATAGAAACGATGGATACCATCTCGAGAAACCTGGTCGCAACTATTGGCATAAGTAGTAACTCTAAACTTGGATTCAGTTCGGTAATTTAGTAAATTTAATCATTTATTTTCCAGATTGGAGTTAACTTCCAGCAATAAATACGTGACAGCAAAGGTGAATCACTTCCAGAACGGAACGGTCGTTGAATCCAGTACATCTGAATGGGCAATCAAGCAGCACCTATTCAAAGGAAACGATACATCGGCTTACATAAATCTAGCTAAGGTTGGTAAATTTATCGGTGCTGTTGAACGCTTTAACAAAACATATTAAATTTGCTTGCAGATTTTTGCCATCCGCTGCATGGAAGCAGGCCTGACCGAAATGCGATGTGATCTGCAACCGAAACCGGAAGGAAAGGTGGATAAATTTCTTAAAACGTTGACTGAAAGTGGAATCAGGCTACAGGAAGCAGACCGGATAAAACCAATTCAACCTTGGGATATGGAGCGCTTCGAGAAACCATGGGAAGTGACAGAATAAAATTATTAGTCATTGTTGCTTGTTGCCTACATTTTATTAGTCGTATTAAACAGATAGGTTGCACCAAAGATACTGCTTTTTACTGCTCATATTTATCCTTGATGTCGTCCCACAATTTCTGGAAAGGAGAATCAAAATAATGTATCACTCAGAACTTACATAATATTCGCAAGGAATGAATTAGGTTGGACATACCCCCTTGTTGTACGACCTGAAAAACGCATCAGTGCCCATGTCAAAGGCCCGCTCGAAGAAGAACACGCTGGCAGCAATTCCTACGGCGTATGTGGATGTCCGCTTGAGTAGTAGCTGGTTGAGGGCCCTCATTTTTCACTGATTTCAAATCGTTTCCACAAACGCACTTGTACTTTATGGTTGCTACTATCGAAATAAATTTGAACAGACAAAAGGGACAAAAGAGGAATTTGACACAGTATTAAATTTGACAGCTATTACACGATTCATACATGTGCTGGAGTTACTTCAAAGGTAGGAAAATCATAAAATTCAGCAACAGATGTCGCATGCATCATTTGAAATGCGCCCGAAAACATACTCTTTCAAAACTACCCAAATTTCAATAGAATCCACCCAGATAGGTCAAAACTGAAGCGACTCAAAAATGGGTAAACTATGTTGGGAGTGATAAGTTGGATCGGATTCATGTCGATATCAAGGGGGGAGGTGGCTGCCAAATACGAACAATTGTCGCCTACCTCGCATAACTGGGATAACTGGTTCCAAACGTAAACAAGCCATAAGAAACCTACACCGTTTGTTTACGTTTGGAACCAGTTTCATACAAGAATGATCAGTAGGCTGATTTGAAAGTACGTCCCCCCCCCCAGGTCGATATAGAGAGCTGCACCGTCGGTTTAACCTCACATTTTTTGACATTGTCCATTTTTCAACTTGTCACCACAGAGAACAGACATGGAGGCTCGAACAAAATTTCTCTAATAACTTGTGTAAAGATTCCTATTCGACTTAAGCGCCACTAACGGCGACTTCCCCACCTAAAAACCCTCTTTGACAACATGATGGCGCTGGCGTTGCACAAATTACACCAGACACTAAGTGCTAGTAGCGCCAAGTGGAAATTTTCAACAGAAAATTTATCGATACTAGCGCCAAATTGGTCGAAAGTGGAAAATTTATAGAGAAAATCAGGAGATGCTAACACCACGTAACGGCGACGTTCCCACTTATTTTACACAAGTTTTTGACCGAACTTGAACGTCTGTTCTCTGTGTTGTCACTCTCAACATAATTTACCCATTTTTCAGTAAATTCACATATGGCCGAACTGACTGGATTCTATCGAAATTTGAGAAATTATGATATAGCGTGTTACTGGTAAATCTATATAGTATTAGCACAGACAAACAGACATAACACTCGCAATTTGTTCATCGAACAAGCATTTAACGGTCAATTCAAAAGTATCGTAGTTGGTAGTACCACCACCTGTAGCGCGCATAGTCAATTCCCTTGCGTTTGACGTTTACACACTACCGCCATCTCTTCAGCGTACTTCCCACCACAGTGTACTCAACAGATAGCGGTAATGTTTTAGCGACGATGTTTTACATTGAGAATTATTCTATGTGTTATGTCTGTTTGTCTGTGGTATTAGGCAATTGATGAATCTATTGTCGTTTTCGTTTTTGCGGTGTAGCTACACCGGTGCTACACTGCCGTACACCGAAATATTTTAGGGTGTAGATATAGGATGCACCTTTGTTTGCAAGCAAATGCTGTTGAGCTGTCAAAGACTCGCGCTTATTCCTGCTTACACTACACCAGTGCTACACCGCAAAAAAGAAAACGACATATGTTACGGTCGGCCAGCAGATGGAAATGATGTGAAAATGATAATGACGTTTTGCAAGCTGTCAAATCGTATGGAATATTTTTTAGTACATCCACAGAGAACAAACATGGAGGCTCGAACAAAATTTCTCTAATAACTTGTGTAAAGATTCCTATTCGACTTAAGCGCCACTAACGGCGACTTCCCCACTTAAAAACCCTCTTTGACAACATGATGGCGCTGGCGTTGCACAAATTACACTAGACACTAAGTGCTAGTAGCGCCAAGTGGAAATTTTCAACAGAAAATTTATCGATACTAGCGCCAAATTGGTTGAAAGTGGAAAATTTATAGAGAAAATCAGTAAATCACGTAACGGTGACGTTCCCACTTATTTTACACAAGTTTTTGACCGAACTTGAACGTCTGTTCTCTGTGGTACATCATCACTTTTGTGGTTTTGGATTTCAAACCTAGGTGTCGCATGCACTGGTGCAGTTTCGCCACAGAGAACAGACGTCCAAGTTCGATCAGAAACTTGTGTAAAGTTAAGTGGAAACGTCGCCGTTACGTACCGCTAGTATCTTCTGATTTCCTCTTTAAATTTATCACTTTCGACCAATTGGGCGTAGTATCGATAAATTATCTGTTGTAAACTGCCACTTGGCACTACCAGCAATTAGTGTCTAGTGTAAGTTTTGCAACGCCAGCGCCATCATGTTGTCAAAGAGGATTTTTAAGTGGGGAAGTCGCCGTTAGTGGCACTTAAGTCAAATAGGAATCTTTACACAAGTTTTTAGACAAATTTTGTTCGGGCCTCAATGTCTGTTCTCTGTGGTTTAACGTACGCACACTAACGTGTGCATCGCCGTGTAAAATTGTTTATTTTTTTCCTCTGATAGTGATTTGTTACACACAAAGAACAAAACTTGTTGCTATAAAAATAATGCTTAATCAAATTAAAAGTTTCCCTACATTCGTAGTTTCAACTATGAAAGTTTTCAAAATTAAACGTATATTTTTGGTTTAAAAATATTTCTTTCACTTTGGACTTGTAATTTCAGAAGTATTTTTTAAAAATAAAAGTTGTAAAACTGTCAAAATACTTCTTCATTGCAAAGTTTTTGACAGTACTGGATCTCCGTTTCCCGCTTAAAGCCTGGTACGCAGCTGAAAAGTAATGACGTTTTTATGTGCTACCGGATAGGACTCGGAATGCAAAAGAAATTACTTTTTCTCAGCATTTCTTGACCCAGTACGCAGTTCAAAAGAAATCGGTAAAGGAAAGATCGATTACATTAGTATCGTGATCGACATGAAGGTGGCGCATTCTGAATGCAATTTCACTTTCCTTGCGGAATAATGGTCTGATCAATTATTCCGTTAGGTAATGTTGGCGTTTATTGCAAAACTGATGTTTTGGATGCATTTAAACAACAGAAACACTAATAAGTGTTGATTTTACAATTTGACCACTTCTCCCTATAATCTCAAAATTTAGCATACTATAGCTGTCAAATTTTCTTTTGGGAAAAATGCTCAAAAATTACTTTTCCGTTTTCTTTTCAGCTGCGTACCAGGCTTAATTTGACATGGGAAATAAAAAATAAAACAAAAATAGCTGTGAGAACTCGTGTGAGAACTTGCAGGAGTAGCAGCAGTGTATTCTATTTTTCCATATATTTCATCCGCCAGCACGCTTCTTTACAATACGAATAATAATATGGAGGCACCCGCTGGGACACTATCGAGTGGAAGGATACTCCAGTTGCCGGATTTTGAGGTAAGTGGATCACATTTTTGAAGACTTTCGACTAATTGATGTAATTTTGATCTTCAGCAGCCTTGTCAGTCTTTCCGGAAAGGAAAGTTACTCCCACCAACCATCACCATTAAGCAGAAACTTTTCTTCAAGCACGTCTCCACACCGAGCCCATCAGGAAGTAATTATTCCGATATCAACTGTACCATTTGTGTAAAATGCTTCCAATGGAAGGTTCAATAATGCAGTGGCCTTTCAGTGATGATTGAAAATTTTAATAAACTAAAATAAATTAAATTAAATATGTATGTGGTTCATTTTTCTAAAGCAATAAATAATATTTGAGATGAAAACGTACACCATTGCGATAAAAATACCCATCTTTTAAATTCAAACCTTAAATGAGTATATTTAAAAACCATAGGCTATTATATTTACAGTTCTACAATTCGATTTCACGTCCGATACCTGACGTGAAAATCTCTATAGAGTTCTCCAGATGCATAAAAGTGTTCGTGAGACCGTGCGCTACCCTTTTCAGGTGTTTTGCTGTGAGATCCTTATTCTCGTAACACGCAGAAAAAAACTATCGTCGAAACAAAAATATTAGAGGTAAATTTAAACGTAAACTCAGTTTGTTCTGACCACAAACATAAATAAGGTTGATTTCAAGCGTATTCCATGTTTGAAGTCATGTGAAATCAATTTAAAAAAAATAATGTTACGTTTATTTCAAAAACTGTTCGTGTTGAAAAAAAAGTATTTGTTTTTGTTTGGTTTTACAGCTATGCGAACAATAATAAATATGTTTATTTTAAACATGCTTCTCATGTTAAAAATAAACATACATATTTTGAAATTATGTTAGTAGTTGAGAGGAGGGTAAAGCAAAATAAAACGGGTTTCAAAGAAATTAAAAAAAAAAGATCTTCAGGCACGGCATCAAAATTCCTGCTCTTTTTCGGGTGCGATTAAAGGCCTAAACGCAATGTAGGCGGAAGTGGAACGGAAACGGAAAGTTTGACAATTGTCACAAATGACATCAAGATGCCTAACCGAAGTCGATTTGATTCTAACTAGTTTTCAATCCGACAAGTAGGCTTACTCAGATCGGGCTTTTCTGCTACCGCTGCCGTTTCGCTTCCGCTGTTATTGCGCTTGGGCCTTAAGGGTGACCTGTGGGTATTGGGGCCCTGGTCCGAGTTCCGAGGACCCATCGGGGTGGGTGGCGGAATCACTTTAAGTATACTCACACCAAATTTAAATAATCAGCAAAATTTTCAGCAATAACAAATTCTGGCAGCTCACAGCATTTTACTGAATAAACTCAGTAAATTGAATTTATTTTCACTTGAGGCTGGCAGCTTCTATTGAAGATTTTTCATAAAAATTCACAAGTAATAAAGAAAAAATCGCCTAGGTATATTCCATGCATAATTCATTATAACCAGTGGTCTTTTTTTTTCCTTTGGTTTGTTTGTTCCGTCAATCTTGTTTTCCGCGCTGAGCACCAATGCTACTGACGTGCCAGGAAGGCAGCTCCCACACCTGGACCCTACCTATCCACCCATCAACTCATGAACCGGGGACCAACGGCTTTACTTCCCATCCTAAGGAAGGCGTGATCAGAGATGTTATGCCTCAGGACATCCTGGCGGCGCCGACTGAGATTGAACCCAGGCCTGCTGGGGTGAGAGGTAATCACGCTTACCACTACACCACCGGCGCCGTTAACCAGTGGTATTACCAACATAATTTTATATATTTGTAGTTTTGTTTATCTCCTCCTCCTTGGTGGTTTGTACACACTTAGATTTTTTCGCCGAGATGTGC